AAAGTTAATTCCCCCAACCATAAAGTCTATAAGAACAGGTTCAGTTAGAACTGGTCAGCACGGGCCAAAGTCCCCCTACAGTTGTCATGGGGTTGGGGGACTTGAAAGTCTGCTGTCAATCAAAAGTCAAGAGGTGAACCTGAGTGAGACTCTCTGGAAACTTTCCTGGGACCCCCAATTAAACTGGAGTGCAATAGAGACATGCTGTCCCCCTCCCAAAACGACCTACTTTTCTCTTTTAGAGTGTCCCCTTCCCCCCCTTTCCTACTCCTTCTAATAATCTTATGCCTGTTAGAATTTCTGAGTAATATGTCTGAAATCTTTCTGATTTGATTGGGGGGATTGTGAAGGGGAACCTCAGTTTCCTGGAAGGCCCCAGCCCTGAAAAACCCATTTTGGGAAAACTCTCCTGTTTATACCCTCTCTCCTCTGGTAAGATTCCCTCCACACTGGGTTTCACACATGTGCTCAGTTTTACACTGTATTAATCTGCTTAAGTTAACACATCCTGAAAATGCTTTTCCATAACCATAAGGAATCTGGCCTCTCACCCCCAGGGCACGCTCGACACACCTCAAGTAGCCCCAAACGAACGTGGCTGCTGCAATTACTGTACTTGGAGGGCAGCCAGGATGGGGGTGTTTAGAAAATAGGAAGCCAGATGTTTCTTCAAGGAATGGTGGGCAGGTGGTAACTGAGACTTAGGTGGTGGGACACAAACCCAACTCCAGTTGATAGAGAGGACGTGAACCCAAACAGATCTTAAATTGTGTCAGGTCTCTGGAGCTAACTCCTGAACCACATCAAAGACCCATGGTCTTTCACCAGTGGCTATTCCCTGAGGATAGCAGATAGATCTGGGAAAAGGAGTACAACCCTGTAAAAGACCCATGAAAGACCATGAGTTTTTGATGTAGAAAACAGGGGCCTCTGTCCTGTCAGAGCAACAGAAGGAAGAACATCAATGTCTGCCTGCCCTACTGCATGTCTCCAGGCTGTGAGAGGCCATTGGGCACAGAGGTCATGTCCCAGTAGGGGAATATCAGGGATCCAGAATGAAACAAAGAGGTTTCGGACACCAGGAAGCAATGCTCATGACTTGAAGTGTGAAAGTGAATACTCGCAGGCCCATTATTTCCAACCAGACCTGAATTAGATTCAAAGACATAAAAGTCAAGTCTGCTTACTGCAGCCCAACTTCCCAAAGACACAGGCTTGTTGGGGGTATGCAAGTGCTCAAGCTCACACTCCCTACAGTTTAAGGAAGGCCTTAATCACTTTCCGTTGTTCTATGCCCACTATTTCCTTGACTGTTTCTGTGATCAGTGGAAAGGAAAGGGCTGAAAAATTAAGAGGGTGCGGAGGATGGACACCCAGATCATGGTCAGATGCAGGCTTTGCTTGTGAGGCTATGCCAGATGCCTTGGCCTCTGTGAACCTTCTGGCCCCAACTCCACTCCGACTGTCTGGCTGCTCCCTCCCCTTCCCTCTGCTGGGTCATCTCCCTCTACCTATAGCACAAACATCGGAGTTCTCATCTTTCTACACTTCTGCTGTGGTTATCTGTTTGATGTGGCTTGAATGTGCCCTCCAATGTTCACGTGAAGGACAGCTGGCCCAGTGTGGTATTGGGTGGTGGAACCTTTAAGACACAGGGGGTAATGGGAGATGATTAAATCACTACACGTCAACCTCAGAAGTAATTAAAGTCGTGCTCATGGAGCATGACCGGTTCCTACAAGGGCAAGTTGCAATAAAAAGAGCAGCCCAGCATCGCTGGCTTCTTGTCTCACTCATTGATCTCTTCTGCACATGCTCCCACCATGTGATGCCATCTGCCCCTAGGTCTTTCTCAGAGGCTGAACAGATGGGACACCCAGTCTTGGCCTTTCAATCTCCTAAACCGTGAATTAAACCTTTTTTTTTTTTTTTGTACCGGGGATTGAACCCAGGGGCACTCAACCACTGAGCCACATCCTCATCCCTATTTTGAATTTTATTAGAGACAAGGTCTTACTGAGTTGCTTAGCGCCTTGCTGTTGCTGAGACTGGTTTTGAACTCATGATCCTCCTGTCTCAGCCTCCCAGTGGCTGGGATTACAGGTGTGAGCCACTGTGCCCAGATAAACCTCTTTTCTTTATAAAGTACTCTGCCTCAGGTATTGTATTACAGCAATAAAAAACCAAGACAATTTCCCTTAAGACATAGTGACTGGATGATCTCTAGGCCCATAGCTTTAAATATCATATGTACCCTGTCCAATACAGTAGCCACTTGTGACATGTGGCTATTTAAATTGAAATTAACTAGTCATACTAGTAATAGTTCATGTGCTCTACAGCCTTTGTGGTTGATGGCTGCCATATTGGACAGTGCAGATATTATTCTACTACACAGCACTCATCTTCACTGATGACCCCAGATCGTTATTTCCAGCTCTGACTTCCCATCTGAACTCCAGACTTGCTATCCAGTTCCTTTTCTGACACTAGTACCTACATATTTCTGACATCTCAGACTTTAACAGAATTAGAAACAAAACCTTTTTTCCTTCAAAATGTTCAATAATTCTGTCCATCCTGCTTTATAGATAATAGACAAAGCCCCCACATAAAAGTGCTCTAAAATTTTAATATGCTCTATGATGGTTAATTTTATATGTCAACTTGGCTATGCATGGTATGTCCATTTGACTCCTGATATGGGTTAAAACCTCTCTATGCATTTCCCACCCTGAAAAATGGTTTTGTCAAACTGGATATCAAGGAGTTATCTTTGACTCCTTCCTCTTCTCTTTCCTACAACCAACCTGTGGCTAAGTCCAGGTGATTCTGTATCTAAGACATATTTTGAGCGCTTCTACATCTTTCTATCTGCACTACCACTACAGTCTCAGTTAGTGGGTGAGGTCAAGGAAAACGAATTCTCCGGATGACTCCTACAATAGCTCCTTCTTCATTCTTGTTCTCCTTCCAATGCAATCTTTCACATAAAAGTCAGAGAGCTCTTTTATAAACACCAATCATGCCTCTCCACTGTTTAGAATCCTTCAATGGCTTCCCACTATACACAGAGTAACGAACAAACTTCTCACCAGTCACCTGCAGAAGCTCTGTGGGATTTGGCCTCCTCTGCCTGATGCCTGGCATCTCCAGAAGCCACTCTTCCTGCCCCCTGGGATCCAGTCAATGCTTCCTTCCATATCCTTGACAGCACCCCAGCGTTCCCTTCTTAGTTGTTCCATGAGCCGGAAGGGCTCCCCTAGAGCTTTGCACGGCTCTCCTTCACATCTGTTCTTCATAAATCAGCTTGAGTACCATCTCCTCAGAAAGACTGTCTCAGTCTTCCTGATCTAATAGGATTGCCAGGAGTGGGATGTTGCTCAGATGAGATCCCCACTGACTGCTCTCACAGAACTGTTTTTCTCTTGGCTTTTTCACAACTTGTAAAAGTTGTGTTTATCTTCTGTTTATCTTATGAGGGCACAGAACAAGCCTGTGTTGGTCACTGTTGTCTTTATGACTGTGCACCAAGCTTGGCAAGAGATACTTTCTGAGTGAAAGAGTGCAGGACCCAGGCACGGTGTTTTCTAAAGCACACTCTGTGGAATATGATTTTGTAGGTTGTACGAGGTCAGAGGTTGACAAGCTACTGCCTCTGCACTGAATTCAACAGCCACGGCCACACAGTTACATACTGTCAAGGGCCACTTCAGCTTAATGATAAGGTTGCATCGTTATGACAAAGACCATTATGGTTTGAATGCGAAATGTCCCCCAGAGGCTCATGTGTTGAAGGCTTGGTACTCAATGGAACAAAGTTCAAAGGTGAGAAGTGGGCTCTGCTCTCATCAGTAGATCAATCTGTGATGGGTTCATCGCTGAGGGCATTACTGGGAGGGGGTGGAGACTTTAGGAGCCTAGTGGGAGGAGGTAGTATGTCACTGGGGGAATGCTCTAGAGGGGCATATTGGTCTCTGGCCTCCCCGCTCTCTAAGGTAAGCAACTTTTCTACACTGTGACTTTTTATTGTGATGTCCCACCTCACCTCAGGCCCAGAGCAATGGAGCCAGCAGACTATGAACTGAAACCTCTGACACTGTGAGCCAAAATAAATCCTTCCTTCTTTAAGTTGCTTTTCTCAGTTATTTTGTTGCAGTGACAAAAAATTGACTAACATACCAAATGACTCATAAAGCTATTTGGTTCCTAACAGACAAGTCTGCTAATCCTTGTTATGGACGATTATAGCAGAACTAAAAACAAAACAAAAGAAAAGGTTCTGTGGGTCTAATATATGTTGAGTTAAACAAAGTCATATGAAAATTCCAAAAATATGACATAACATACCATTTCCTTTTTGGCGTTTGCTGGTTCTTTGGAATAAACTTTGCTTTGCTTTTTGTTTTTGCAGCATTGGGGATCAAAGCTTGCGCATGACAGTCAGATGCAGTATTTCACTGCATTGAAAAGTATCTCATGCATCCTAATCTTGTGTCAGAGGTAGTTTAATAATAAATGATTTTTAAGTAATACTGGCACAATGTTTTTAGCTTCACATAGTGGTTATACTCTTTTTTTTTTTGCAGAAAAAAAGGCATAAATATCTGTGACAATTATGCAGTGAAATATGATGTTCTTCCATGGAGTTTAAACCACTAGCCTTGGAATAGACTTTGAAAAATGCTGGTTAACGTTTTAAAACCATGAAGGTGAAATTCCATTGGGTTTTCTCTGGATGGTGTGTAATAAGAATTTCTCAGTAGTCACAGTAACTGGCCTTCACTGTGTAAGGGGTAAGTATTGAGAAGGGAAGCTGAGAAGTATCTGCTAAGGAGACTTCATAGAATAATCATGCATTCAGTAGTTATCTGTCCCTGGTATCAATATCCTAACATCTCTTTCAACTCTATAAACAACCCCCAATGGGATATATCAACATAACTAGGAATACCCCCTGTAGTTCTAGAAGAGAAAAGGATGACTGAGCAGTGACTTACTTTTTCTTGACTGTTCAGCTCATGGTACGGGATGTGGGCAGGCAAGTAGGTGTGGAGCAGAGCACAGAAGGCCAGGCCATCACTCCAGCTGCTGCTGAAATTGGTGATGTCAATGTTCTGCAGCAGGGAAAAAAGCAGTATTAAACCCCTAAACTGAGCAATGTCAATACAAGGAGACTGTTCGGTTAGGACTCTAACTTTGGGTTTTGGGAAAGGCAACATAGGAATGAACTACCCCAAACTGCTGGGAGTACATTTGATTTTGGCACCTGGAAAGGCTTGGTATGGTCCCAATTCTTTTCCAGGATAGTAGGAAAAGAAGGTGTAAATACTCAAAACAACAGGAAATTCCGGTTGCCTCCTGCAGGAGTCTTCCCACTGAGTTGCTTTGTATATCTCAGTACTTCCCAAATATATTTAGCCAAGAGAGAATCATCATCAACATCATCAACATCATGTATAACATAATCAGCAACAAGCAGTTCAAGATGAACAAAAAGGTCATAAAGTCCTGAGTGACTGGTCTGGCAGCTTGTCCTGCTTCCTCACCTGGAGACCTCCTCAGTGGGGAGAGAAACCTTCAGGCTCCACTGTCCCTCTAGGAGCACACCAAACAGTGGGGATCACATGGGGAAAATGGGACTCCACCTTCAGCACAGGCGGGGCTCCTGGTGGCTGTCTGGTTCACAGTTATAAAGAAGCTAAAATCTAACTTTAAAAAGCCTCCTAGGCAGGTGGCCTAGGCTTGCAGCTCCAGGGTACCTCCGCCTTGCAGATCTTCAGACCTTCCCTGCTTATTCTTACAGGGTTTCCTTCCCTGATTTCCACAAAGCTTACCCAGATGCAATGTCAGGTTCTAAGGCCTGTGAATGCTTTCATGTTTATGTGGTTCAGTGCAGTGGCTACTCAAATATATTGAAATAGCTCACAAGGGGGGCCTGCAAGGGATTGCAGAAGTGGGGCCCACTTGAGGCTTGGGTTTTATGTCTGTGTTCTGAGCAGCCTGAAGGTGATAAAAGGAATTGGGCCAGTGTAGGACTCCTTGCAATCTCTTCACAGTTGCTGGGGCTTGAGCACCCAGTCCTGGGAAAAAGGGGAGTCAAGAAAGCTGGCAAAGATTTTGAAGAGGGGTGATGGTTGCTGGCTCCTTCTAATGGAGTGGATGCTGACAGCCCCTCCTTCCCTTTGCCCAAACAGCCAAACGTAACTACAACCAGTCAACTCTCTGACTGCCCTGGTGTTTTTTTCTTTTCTTTTTTTTAGAGTGTTTCTATCTATCAGAGGCAACTGGCAGTTTAAAAGAACAGGAAGAGAGAATAAAAAATGGCATGAAGTTAAGTTGGAATAGGGAAGGAAGACCTTCATGGAATTCTTCTCAAAGTGTGTAGAGAAGTTTTAGAGAATATACATAGGTGGAAATGAATAATAAAATACAGCAGAATGTTTCCTGTGAAGTTTCCTTGGAAGCAGATGATCTACGATCTCATTTGTGTTTTTTTTTGTAATACCTTTATTTTATGGGTTTATATTTTTATGTGGTGCCGGGGATCAAACCCAGTGCCTTATGCATGCTAGGCAAGCACTCTACCACTGAGCCATAACCCCGACCCCCATTTGGGTTTTTATCTAGATTTTTCCAGTATTAGTTTGAGCTAGCCTCGCCCTTAGCCACAAAGTTGGTCAAATACCTCATTGGTGAGTAATGAAATTGAGACAGAAGAGGTGATATGACATGTCACACATGAGCCTTTCCTGAAGGGCACAGACACCAAGAACCCACACCTCCGCCTTTCTATCAAACCTCCTCTTGCCTTTAGCCAAAGTCCAAGATGATTCTGGTGGGCCCTAGACCTTTATCCCAACACACAGGCTATCTTGGGTCTACTTTGCAATTGCATTCACCCAGGGAAGGACATTTGGTTGAAAACAACACACCACCGTGATAATACCTCTCTATTTGGATTTTCATGACTGAAGCACAATTAACTTGTAATAGTTGCTAAGCATCAGTGTTACATAAAAGTCTGAGAATGCCACTGTTGCAAGAGGGCCCTGTATCCATTTTCAGTTTGACTGTAATGGCCCTCCGAGAAGCTGATCACTGGAATTATTTGGCTCTAAAACCTCTTTTGGTTCAGTAGTTACCTGGCAAGAACCGGATACTTACAGACTAAATAAATAAATGCTTTGGCTTTGTACTTTCAGAAGAGATTTATATGTTTAAAGAACAGAGGGGGAAAAAATGGGCCAGGGGGTTGGGGGAAATGACCTATTTCACCTGCTTAGATTTAAGCATTCAAACTACACATTACTCTGGAAAGGGGAACTTAAGGGGGAAGGACAAGGTCAACCTTGGGGAATGGCTCTTACCAAAAATCAAATTCCTTTCCTTTCTTTCTTTGCCACACACAGGTTGCCTGAGACCCCATCTCCAACTAACCTCTCATATGGCTGTGACTTGGAGGAGGGAAAGCCAGGATGTACTTCCAGAGGCCACATGCTTATGCCTCTTATTTATGATGGCCCCTATAGTTTCTTTGTAAACAGAAGCAAGCACCGCGGAGGGCCTGCAAGTGTTCCTTCTGCAAGGCAACACAGACCTAGATCATTTCATTTCCAACAGAAGGCCACATTTTAAACCGGAAGTTGAATGCTCAGTGGTCAAGATGAAGGTCCTTTAAGTTTCAAGCTCCAAAAATGCTGGGGGTGGTAAGAGTAGTGATATTTGTCAAATGCCTACAATGTGCCTGCCACTGTGTACTTTGTCATTTAATTTGCAGAACTGCCGTACATGGTTAGTCGGGTTATGCCCATATTATGGACAAGAAAGCTGCAGCAAAAAGAAATATTAGTGCCAGAGTCAAGGTTCAGTTCTATGTGACTACAAAGGCCAGTTCCATGTGACTACAAAGCACATGTATTGTTTTCTGTGGGACACTGTTACCCAGGGAAGGAAGAAGTTGGGGGTGGGTGGGTGTTGAGGTAGGATGAACTGAGCATAGAATTCAACACCATCTGCAGTGCTGGAAGCAGACCCTACAATTCCTGGATTCACATCTAGGACAAGAATAAACAGAAATGCTAAGGCGAGAGAAAGCAGATTCTAGAGGGAGTCAAGGATGGAACTTTGACTCCATTACTCTTGTAAGTTAGTAAACTAGAACCACATTTTCTGTCACCAGGCTATTGATCACAAGGAACAGGCTCTAGGGTAAACAGCATCACTCTTCTAGCACTAGTGAATGTTACCACACTGAGGAACTTATATGTCCCAAATGGGCCAGATTCTCCCTTCCTCCTCCAGTTTATTTTATATTTAAAACTTTTAAAATTTGCTAAATCTTTTTTTTTTTTGGGGGGGAGGGGGGTTACTGGGAATTGAACCCCGGGGCACTTAATAACTGAGCCACATCCTGAGCCCTTTTGCATATTTTATTTAGAGAGGGTCTCACTAAGTTGCTGAGGCTGGCTTTGAACTTCTGATCCTTCTGCCTCAGCCTCTTGAGCTGCTGGGGAATATGGGTGTGTGCCACTGTGCCCAGCTGCTAAATCTTTCCCTTCCTAAAACATGAGAACATTTAATAGACATGTGTCTTGTGTCAATTATCATATTGTTACAGGGGCCATTGATTTGGACCCCAGCCCTTATACTAGGCCCCAGTGGATCAGATAAACCAAAATGGGGTCACACATGCTAAATAATCCATCATCAAACTGAAACCTCAAGGAAACATTCCAAGACACAGACATTTTCCCTGAAAATAGGAGATTCTAATCTACTTGAGTCAGAAGAAGGAAATCACCTTCCGCTTTCCTCTTTACAAGCAACATGATGTTAATATGTGTTTTTTGTTTATACTGTTTTCTTGTTTCCACCTTACAAAAACCCACCATTTTGTCAGCAGGAGCTCTCACTCTTGTTTTGTAGCATGAAAGCTGTTCTGATCAATGAACTGAGACAAAAACCATTTAGATTTCTAACTAATTGTTATAATTTTTTCTTTCAAAAGATAACAATATGAAATACCATTTCCTTTCTTTTTTCTTTTTCTTTTTTTTTCGGTGGTGCTGGGGATTGAACCCAGGGCCTTGTGCATGTGAGGCAAGCACTCTACCAACTGAGCTATATATCCCCAGCCCCCCATTTCCTTTCATCAGCAGAATCTTCAGAAGCATTTTGAGAGGCCAAACGGATCCAAAGATGTGATGAAGCCATCCATCTCACAAAATTGAGAAAGTATCTGATATATTAGTAAACAGAATCCCAGTTAAGAATAATCATTGATCTATCACTATAAATGAATAAAAGGTTCAGACTAAAATCTCATGACATCAAATCCATGATTGAAAAATGAAACAAAATCACCTGTCACCTCAGGACAGCTCAGATTCACAGGATATTTCAGAACAGATTACAGCCTGCAGGTCTCTCTGGAAGATTGAGACATATTTTATCTACTTATTTATTTATTGTTCTAGGGATCAAACCCAGGGTTGGGGGTGTAGCTCAGGGTAAAGCATTTGCCTATCATGTGTAAAGCCCCGGGTTGCATGCCCAGGATCACCAAAAAGAAAAAAGAAAAAAGGAGAAAAGACAAACATTTTAATGTAAGACACACTTCAACAATAAATAATGGGCTGGGGCTGTAGCTTAGTGGTAGAGAACTTGCCTTGCACGTATGAGGTGCTGGGTTCAATCCTCAGCACCACCTACAACTAAAAATTTTTTTTAAAAATTAATAAGAGTGCACAGAAATCATATTAGAAAAGCGAAGTATTCCACCTTTTAAAATAGGGAATTATTATGGGAATTCCAAATTTAGGCAATCTAATCCCACATCCGGGTCAGGAAATGTTTCTCTTATGTGTAAGCTATTCTCCATGTTTAAGACTTTTTACTGTTCTGACACTGGCAGAGAGAGATGGAGGATAATCAGCTATGATTTGTATTATTAGACTCATTCCAAGAACATTACACCATCAAGTAAAAACCCTACCCTTTTTATTACAGAGTGGAACAACCTCAATTCTTGTTCCCTGAACGTCACTTGAAATGGTCTCTAATTGCATTTGAGTGCCAAGAGTGTCAACAATTCCGTACTTGACACGGCTCACTG